TTGGTACTAGTTTAAAGTATCTTTATACTTAGTATAAAGTTTCCATCGGAACTATATCGTTTTGTTGATAATTCTTTTAATCTTGTACAATAGTTTCTTAGGAGGTGGTTACGACATTCAATTTTTTCAACAAAATTATTACCATATGGTCAATTTTCTAAAATTTTTTGATAAACACTACTATGTCCATCGGCTATTAAAATTTTGTAAGTAATTCCATGCATGTATTTACTACATTTAAATCCATCTAGAATTATTTGACTTTCCATTGCAGTCGAAGCTTTTGTCTAATTTTTATAACATATGTGTTCTTTATTTTCCCCGTATAATTTACAGTACTCCAAGATACAGAATCTTTTGGGTTCTGTATCTCAAGCCTCAAGCATTGATGTCCAAGAACTTTCATGGTATAAGTCAATTAGATCATTTTGAATTGATAAATAATATTTTTTTGATAGTAGTCGGATATTTAGACTGGACGTTAATTCAGTTAGTTGTGTGTATCCTCCACCAATGCGACACATTGGGCAAAAGAGAGTGAATTTAGAATGAAATCCTTTTCGCTTTTCACTAGTCACTGTAATATCTTCCGAAAAGCAATTGAACAATCTGTGGTGAGGGAATTGCAGTATTTGCCTAATAAAATATTGCACATCTACAATTCTTCTTCCTTGTAATATGAAATCTGAAGTAGTTTGTCTAAAAGACATATAAATTATTTATTTATGTTTAAAAGTTTACTGCACTTCAAATACATTTTATATTTGGTAAAAAAAACTTACGTAGCAGAATATTCCTTTGTTATGTTCTCCTCCTTGCAAGGAAAAATCCAAGAACGCAGAAATCCAGGCCTTAGAAGAATATCCTGGATGAGAAATTTAAGAAGAGGTTTGGCTGTACCACTAAAGAATTATTCAGAACAGTAGTAAATAAAATTAGAATCGCCCTAATTATATCCAATCTCCGATAGGAGAGGCACTCAAAGAAGAAGAAAATGTTCTCCTTGACAAGTTTTTCGAAATTACGGGATTGACTGTTATAGAAAAATCGTATTAATTTCATGTTAAAAAAATTAAAAGTATGGCTTACTTAATAAATATCTCTGCTACTTTTTCAGCCGCCACTCAAGAATATCGTGCTCGTCTATAATAGTCCAAATTAAATAATTTAAAAAAAATTAATGTATTACTTACTTAGTACCTACAGTTTCCTTATAGTGTATAAACTTGTAAACCTTCTACTACAATGCTAGCAGTGATAACCACAAACATACAATCCACAAAAATCAAACAGATAGTTTATTCCTTTAAGGGAAAATAAAATTTAATAAAAAAATTCTTGGTTTACTGATCGATTTTATAAATGATATTTTCACTATATATTTAAAAATCAGTTTTACAGAAAAATACAAAGTAATTAATTTAATTTATGTAAAAAGTACTTACTTCAATTGAGCTAACTGTCTATTTCTTCATTTTACACTAATACATTTCTTGTAACAACGTCCCATATTTTAATTTACGCAAATAAAGAAATAAGTCTTTATGAATTAATTGAGCAATACCTATACAACTCAGCTTTTTACAGATATACATGTGCTAAGCCGATTCTGGATAAACAAAATACCGACAATTTTAAAGCTTTCATACCAGTGAGAATTTAACTACACGTAATTTGCTGTGTAAAGAAAGATAAACTAGAGATAGTACAAATATTGCCGATTCGCTCCATCTAAAATTTGCGCCTACGCTCTTAATATTAAAACCTGGGAAACCACTGAATCTAGTTCATAAAGTCTACAGTACCTGGCCAAATTATTAGGCCTAGGCCAAGCAAGGGAACATTCATTATATAAAAGTATTTCTCTCATGATTATGAATATATTTGAAAAAGATTACTATTTTGTTCATTTTTTGTGAATAATAACTCTTAGGTAATAAAACAGTTTTAAAAAATTGAGTAAAAACATTTATTTATTAATTTATTTATTTATTATAAATTAATTTTTACAAAGTACTAATTAGTTCAATATTTTGTATGTCCGTTTTTGGCTGCTAGAAGAGTTTGAACATGTCAAGGAATGCTCTCGATACAGCTTGAATATGAGCGTTTTAAGTAACCCTCTTTTATTAGTAATGTTTTTTTTTTCAAATCTCATTTCAGTAGTTCCCATCAATTCTCATTAGCATTTATATCAAGCGAGTTGCCAGGCCAGTAAAGAACTTGTAATTTTTTTTAATAAGCTGAAATACTCTTAGCCTTGTGGTAAGAGGCACCATCATGTATAAATATGGGTTCTGCTTCTTCAGGAAACAATTCGTTCTGCTGTGCCATGAATCTCGTATCAAGTACTTTGTGGTACTGGCCTTGTCTGATCGTGTTTTCGAGAAGCTTGAGATAACAAGTGTACGCAATACATGTTATATCATATTGTCGTCAAAGCACAAAATTATGCTAGCGTATTATTTGTATAAAAAAATGCAGAAGAAACGGGATAAGCGTAAAAGAAAAATATGGATACATCCTATTTTGGTAGAAAGAGAAAAGTTGGTGCTTTCCATACACTTTACGAAGAATTGAAAAAAGACGAAACAAAATTCTTCAATTACCGCACTTATTAAAATCTCCATATCAAAATCCATATTTTAGCGGTAACAAAGAAAGAAATTTATTGAAACAACGGATTCTCGTACTTGCATAAACTAAAATGGTTCACTGGGGGTTCACCGCACCGGCCCGACGAACGTCTTGCCGAGGGCGACTGGATACGTAGACGGTGAAAAGTTAACCAACAGATTGGTTGCCGTTGCGTGAACAAACATTCATACGAACCTGAAAGACACTGAGTAACGGCCAACGAGACGGTTTCAATAACGACCTGTTGACCGTTGTCGTTAACAAGAGCTCTTACGCTTTCCGGGGTACCGTGAATTCGCTATATCACACCATCTTTAAAACACTCGGCTATGATTAAAACTAAACTGAAAATTTTAAGAAGTAACTAAGATATAAAAAATATGTAGTTGTCAACAATTTACAAGAGTTTAATTTTGTTGTAGGGCTTACGTAAATGCATGTACATTGCAATGAACTCCGGGTCCGAAAGGGTTATAAAAATTAAGAAACCATATTTTTATATAGATAATTTTCAAAGTATTGTAATTAATTTAACAGATTATAGTAATAGTGACACCGACGCGACCTGTCACATTAATATTTTTGTATAGCGGTGTTATAATTTTGTAAATAAATATTTAATTAATATTTAATAAATATTTCATGTTTTATTTCTTCAATTTTGAATGTTTATGCCTAACTTTCCTATAAAAATTGGTAATTTTATAACTCTATTAATGATGCAAGTACTAAATTTGTGAATGTACCTTACTTGCCGTGAAACCAATCAGCCAGTTAAATCGTGAAGTGGTAGTAATCTTAGTAATGGTAATTGTAAAGTAATTGTTTTATTGCGAATTTGTCAAACATATAGAATTATTTAAATAAACATTGAACCACAGCAGAACTATATACAGGGTGGTGAATCGTCAAACTGGCCATAGGAAATTCAATGGCAAATTCTGAATTGTTGAATTCCTGCTTCCCTAATTATTTTACATCAAAAGTCATAAGAAACTATTTGTAGAGGACTGAAATATGTATTAAAAACCAGTGTTAAATTTCTACGAATTAAATGTATTCCAAAATTTTGTAAAAATATAATACATTTTTCAGGCCACCCCTTAAATATCATTCCACACGAGGTATAATAATGTGTATGACAAGTTGCGTTTTAAACAACATTTTAATTTTGTGATTTATTGTTTAAAAAACAATTAGTTGATTAAAAAATGTGTTCAGTTGAAGAGAAATTAGCAATAATAAAAATGTTTTATTTAGACAATAGTGCGCGAATTGTCAGTTCTTTATTTAGTGTAAGATATTCCAATAGACCAATTCAAAGTCATTCAACAATTCAAAGGATTTTACAAAATTTTGAAAATAATGGAACCGTGATTTCTAATTGTACCTGTACAAACAATATTGCTGAGGTATCAAAAAATTTAGAAAAACAAAATGAAATAAATGTATTATCAGCAGTTGTAGGAAATCCAAGTTCTCGGATCATTGCAGACCAGTTTAATATTCATAATTCTACGGCCTTAAAAATTTTGAAATTTCGTTCATATGAACTGAATACATTTCATCAATTTTATTGCTTTGTAAACAACACTACACTATAGTAGTAGTAGTATTTGTAAAAAATTGCTTATTTTAGTATTTGTGTATAATTTAATCACAAAATAAAAATATTGACAATTCAAATATTGTCAAATATCAGAATCATAATTCTACGGCCTTAAAAATTTTGAAATTTCGTTCATATGAACTGAATACATTTCATCAATTTTATTGCTTTGTAAACAACACTACACTATAGTAGTAGTAGTATTTGTAAAAAATTGCTTATTTTAGTATTTGTGTATAATTTAATCACAAAATAAAAATATTGACAATTCAAATATTGTCAAATATCAGAATCATCAATACGACCAAACGCAACATGTCATACACATTCTTGTACCTCGTGTGGCCTGACTTTAAGGGTTGGCCTGAAAATGTATTATATTTTTACAAAATTTTGGAATACATTTAATTCGTGAACAATTTTAAAGTTTGTTTTTAATACATATTTCAGTCCTCTATAAATAGTTTCTTCTGACTTTTGATGTAAAATAATTAGGGAAGCAGGAATTCAACAATTTAGAATTTACCATTGAATTTCCTATGGCCCGTTTGGCGATTCATCACCCTGTATATAGTTCTGCTGTTTTATATTTTGGAAAAGCATACTCCCTGATAGATCAGTTATGTAATTTCAGTGATTATTAGGAAAACTATACTATCCTAACTAGAGATTATATTTTATTATTTTCATTTAACATAGTAAATATCCTATTTTTATAATAGGTACATTATAAATAACTTGTAATTTGTTTCAGGTGATATACATGGTCAATACTATGACTTGCTTCGTCTCTTTGAATATGGAGGTTTCCCTCCAGAATCAAACTACTTATTTTTGGGAGATTACGTAGATCGTGGCAAACAATCATTGGAAACCATCTGCTTACTTCTCGCTTACAAAATTAAATACCCAGAAAACTTTTTCCTACTCAGAGGCAACCATGAATGTGCATCAATTAATCGTATATATGGATTCTATGATGAATGCAAAAGAAGGTATAACATCAAGTTGTGGAAGACTTTTACGGATTGTTTCAATTGCCTACCTGTAGCAGCCATCGTCGATGAGAAAATTTTCTGTTGTCATGGTGGTAAGTTAAATTTTATGTTCGTGACTAATAGGAATTTTTGATGATGCGATTTTTAAAAGTGGTTTTTTTTACACAAACCACACAAAGTTAATAAAAATCCAATTTATAATATAATACTTATAATTGAATTTTAATTTTTTTTTTAATGTGATTTGTGAATCTCCATTACTTCCATATCACTTATTTTGCAGTAGTGTGATTTGCAAGACATAAAGATCATAACATACTTTAACTATTTAATTTTATATTAGTGTAGGTGGTATTATATTAAGCACTGATAAATTATTAGACTTCTTCAATCGCAACATAATTTATTTTATATTTAATATCATATACTACATCCCATTGGTCTACATCTATAACATATTTAGATTTTCTCTCTCCCATTTATGTATTTGAGAATTCAGACGTGAGCGTAGCAATAAGCATAAATTTATAATAAATTAGTCCCTGTTTTGTCTATAAGTTTGTTTATTAATACATCACTTCATAAGTCTCAGATCTAACTGTTAAAATAAAGCCTTTCTCTCTCTCATTTATGTATTTGAGAATTCAGATGTGAGCGTAGCAATAAGAATAAATTTATAATAAATTAGTCCCTGTTTTGTCTATAAGTTTGTTTATTAATACATCACTTCATAAGTTTCAGATCTACTATTAAAATAAAGCCTTGTACCTAAGTCAAAATTCGAACTTATTCAACCTATTTTCCTTCTAGGGTGATACACTCAAATACACTGATTCCAACTCTTTATTTGATTCAAATCTCTTTCCCTGGAGCATTCTTTTACGATATTCAAACAGCCAGTTTGTTGGTGTCTGGGACGAAATCTGAAGAATACTGTATGCAGAAGCAATTTGAAGGACAATGTATGTACTGTTGTGTTTTGCGATTGGCTTATATTGCGCTTGATAAAATTAAACGACTGTAAGAACAGATCGCGCGACCTCATACTACATGGAGTGGTAAAGGCAGTCCCATACATGTTTCTAAATAATATAAATAATATAAATAAATAAATATATAAATATATAAATATATAAATATATATATATATATATATATATATATATATATATATATATATATATACAGCGCTACGTGCTTAGACGATGAGAAAGTTATCCTTCCCTCCGGTTGCTCCCGGATTGCCATATCCTGTTTTATTTGTCGCTTTGGACGGTTCCATATCTACTCTTTTCAACTCATGTGACTACCGATTTGACTTCAAAGTAAAATGATGATGGCCCGTTTTTGATCTACGGTGCAAATACAGCCTCCTCTTTAAACATAGCTCAGGCTAAAACGATTTGTTAAATTACATTTAAAAGTGAACATATCAGACCTTCCATTGTTTCCGATGGAGCAGAGTAAACAAATAGAATTGTTTAAAAAGCACTCGACCGATCTTGCCCATATTTCACATAAGTAACTACATAAAAACTCACATTGTGAAATGTGTTTTAAATGTTTTTATTGTTTATTTTAATAATTATAAACAATTGAAAAAATTGCTTACTTTCAGGGGTAATTTGCAATATCTTTTTTGTTTATAAACATTTTTTAATTTTGAAAATGTCGTTTTAAAGAGCAAGCATTTTAAATAAAGTCGTCTTTTGAACGTTTTCATCTAGAATGCGTAGTTTAGTTTAGTTTTTTTTTGCTTAAATGTTAATAAAAAATGATGACACAGGAAAAATTTCGAGGCTCACGAGCCTTTTATATTGACTTCTCCCAGATATTCCAGTTGAAAAATAGCGCCCAGTAATTTTTCGATTTTTCAAATGCTTTGTCAGCTTCGTTTCCTGGGGTATTTGATTAAATGAAAATGATGATACAAGGTTGATGTTATAGTATATCACTTTAAAGGAACATACATTTTCCCTGCTCGAAAGAAGGACTGGTAAAATATACCATCATACATCAGAAGTCTTTACATCCTAGTAATTTTTTTTCAAGTATTCTAAAAGCCAACAACTGAGATTTTACCTTTTACTTTGAAATTAGGACAACTTTCCGGACGAGCGACTTCTTGAACCTTATTTTGGGGTGTCCAACCCGAGATTTTCGCCTTTTGTATATATTTTTTTACAAATTAATGTTAACAAATTCTTGTTATTTACTAGTGATTGTGTTGAGGTTTTTCCTAGTATTATCTAATGACTAACGTAAATATTAGAAGTTGGTAAATTAATTATAATTATGTTTACAAATTTCTTTAGGTATAATATGTAAACAAATCAAAACTGTTTTTTCGAATAAACATTTATATTGGGTTTCCAAAACCAGTACTAAAATTTGCTAGTGCATTGACTTTCAAAATATTTTATATAATTGATGAATTTTTGAATATGTTCCAAATTATTCCTGAAATATTTTCCCACTGCTGTACAAAAAATTGGAACATTGAAATTTTTTATTAGTTTTTAGTTTTAGACAACCAAGTGCATGTTATATCTTTAAACTTTTCGAATGGGCCAATATTCAATTTCATCCAATTAAATGTCTTTAGAACAATAATTTTTGCTGGATCTTTGTATTGTTTACCGCATCAATAGAAATATTACTGGCTACTTTTTTCATTGTTGTCAGTGTATTTTCTTGTTTTAGTAAGCTCTCGGCATTGAGACTCTTGAAATAGAAACAATTCATTCTTTGGATACCAAAATGTTTGCAATTTATTTGAAAGCCAAGAATTCACAACCGTCTCATGTTCATTAAGAGAACTGAATATCTAGATTATCTTTTCTTGTTGTATCCCATTTTATAATAGTATTGACAAGCAACACTATGCGATAGTTGTACTCTTTGATAATTCTGCTAGACACATATTCCGTTTTTAACTATATTTGAAGGTCAGAAACCTAGGAAGAGGATTTGAGCGTGGTGTTTATAGGCAATATAATTTCTTTTCAACCAGTTCATTTAAGAGGGAAATTGATTTTCCTCTTAAATACTTTTACAAAGTGATACAATAGTATTGCAGCTGGAACCAATATCATTACAACCTGAAAAACAGAAATTTTTCCAGTATATACCTCAAAATCTTATGAACCTGCCAATAATAAATTTTACAGTCTGTAAGGCTTTTTGGATATGTACGAAATGAAATGACGTAAAAGGAATTATTTGCTCCTCGACAACGACCATTTGTTCTTTTCTTATTTTTTTTTTTTGGAACCGTTCCCCTAAAACTTTTACCAATGACTCAATTAATAAAGGTTTAGTTTACCGAAAGTACAAGCTGATTATAGCCGCAAATGTCAAACATGTAACAAAAAATTTCGGTTTAGCAGTGTTGGCATGTTTTTATAATGTATATGCTGTATGCTTCAAATATAAAGAGAGAAAGCTTTTAAAAAGTACATTTTTAATATACTATTTTATGATTTCTGCAATTTTTAATTTATATGAAACAATAATGAGTAAATAACAGATATTTGCAATTAATTTTGAAGGAGACAAATATTTACTTGTTATTGTTTCATGTAAATTAAAAATTGCAGAATTCACAAAATAGTATAATCAAAATATACTTTTTAAAAGCTCTCTTTATATTTGGAGCATACAACATATTGATTATAAAAACATCCCAACACTGCCAAACCGAAATATTTTATTTCATGTTTGACATTTGCGGCTATATTCAGCTTGTACTTTCGGTAAACTCAACCATCAATAAATTTAAGAATTCCAGTCTAAACGAGTTTTTGATAATTTCATTAGGTAATAAAAAACTTCCACTCCTTCACTAATAAAAGGACAACTATGCCATACCATACCATAGTTTAAAAAAAACTTACAGTGAAGTAAAAAACTTTAGTGTAAAAAGGAAAATTTATATTTTCCAAATGGATTAATTACAGTCTTATCAGACAATCATCAGTGTACACATAGTTAGCAATTGAAGCTAGCCACTTGAAAAGGTGTAATAACCTTTAAGATTACATATTAAATGTATTAAAAATTAAAATTAAAGTGACACGAGGTCGTTGGTAAAAGATTTCCCGTTCTTTCCTTTCCGTTTTCTTTCGTGATCTGCCACTTCTGTCGAATTTGATGTTTTGAATGTTCTTATCTTTCAATACCTTCAATATCGTTGTGGTCTTTGTCTCTATACTGTAGACAAGGGTGAGTGCTATCAACTGGGGCAACTGAACTCTGATCTTTTTATATGTTTTCCCTTGAGATATCTCTTCTTTTTTCTGGATTTGGGACTGGCTGTATCGTGTATATAGCTACTCAGTTCAACCTACAACAACATGGACAGAGTAGAAACTTTAAAACCCAAAGATGATACAACAAAAAAAAACAAATAATTCTTTTAATGGAAAAATTAGAATCAAACTTTACATAAATTACAATTTTTTTTTGAAATGTCCTTCAAGTCTTTGGGCCAGTACACAACTTTGTGTAACATTTGTTGTTATCTTCACACTTTTCTGTGATGGATTTTATGACTTTTTCCAAGTTGTGAACTTGTGCTGAAAAAATGAAACTTTATAAAGGAACATACAGTAGTATTGCATTCATTTAAATTTTAATATCTAGTTGAAGATAGAATTTCAGGGTTCCTTCTTATAATGTAACCAAAAAACCCTTGAGATAATGATTTGTTTCTCTGATTATCTGCTGTTGCACTATCATTAGCAGTATTAATTTTGTAATTACTATTCGTAATTGTCTATTCTCAGCTGTATGTTTTGTGCTGTCTGTATCTCTACAAAACTTTACAGAATTTTTCTCTTGATAGCAAGAGCAGCGTCCATTAACATCAAGACATTTCTCTAATAGAAAAATATTAATCTATGACTCGAGAACAAAAATGCTAAGTTCGGAAGCATGGACATTAGTAAAGATAAAACTTCATAAGCTCAAGGCATTTTGAAATGTGAAGTTACCAGTCTATGGTAGACAGAGCTGCGTCGCAGAATTAAGGATTAATCGGCACTTTCACTTACATATTATAGACATATTAGAGGACCTAAACCTATATGTA